AGGTGATTAATGACACAGCCTTTAATAATTTCTACTGTTTGTAATTATATAAAGAGTGAACAACAAACCAAATATACAACTTTAGATATTATCTAATTTAAGTAGTCTACTGTATAGGTGTTAGGCTATCTGATTAGTTCTATATTATACTGCTATATCTGTAACTCACCTATAAGTTACCTATTTAAACACTCTGTTCATTAACTCATACAGATCCAACCTAACATTACTACAATATCTAATAGCTTAAGCTAGCTAGCTCATTACAAATTTATTTATTTAGAACAGCTTAGATTTTCTTAGGATATATTATACTAGATACATTGCTAGTATTGCAGAGCTAATTAACTTTAAAGCAAATCTATTAGAGTAGTCTATACTTATTTTGTGAATTCATCTAACTTAGATCCTTGTAGATATTTATATAACTCAAATTCTACTATAGTCTTCTACTAGTTAATCAATCTAGTCTTTTTTTAGTATCTAGCTAGTCCTAGTTACTCTTCATCTAGAGACCTTGAAACCTTCTACTTTTATTAAACTAAGTTTTCTTCTCAAATTAGATTTTAGCTAATATAGTTCTGTTAGAAGGCTATATTACTTTACTAACTTAAGATTTCTGCTATACAAGTCCTCTACTCATATATTCTATCAAGATTTATTCATATAATATTATACTACACTTTCAAGTTCTAATTAATTGATGCAACTCAATTTACAGAAGTACATTCCCAGAAATAAACAGAGTTTACTGTAACATATCACAAAGTCTAAGAAATTATTCAAATTCATTAATAGTAGGATTTGAACTCCAGACTTATTGCATAGTAGTCTAACAACCTAACTACTATACTAGATTACTGGACCTATCTCAAATAAGTTTTATAAAATAAATAATATTAAAATCAATAGCAAAAAGTTAAAACTAGTAGTTATTAATACTATTGCAAAAAAGAAAAAGAGAGAAACTTTAGTAATTATAGTTAGAAAAAATCAAGATAACATCTTTGCAAAAAGAGTTAAAGATATAGTAAAGTATTTTGAAGTTTGTATTTCAGAAAAAAGAAAGTATTTTTATAGTTTAAATATTATAAATTATGAAATAACAGGCATAGGACATATAACTTTGATTGTTGTAATTATAGGTCAAATGACTTGATGTACCTTAATTTCATATGTAAATTTATGAAAAAAATTCATTTAATCTTGATTTATTTAAAAAAATAAAAAGAAAGTTTTTTTTTTAAAGTGGGATTTATATTTTTGAGCATTTAATGCTTCTTTTTTATAAATTTTTACAGGGTATTAAAAATATAACTTTAAAAAGATCTTAATTCAAAGTTGAACTCTTCTTTACTATGTTCTTTAAGTCAAAAAACTGACCCTGTATTTTATATAATATGATTAGTTAAAATCTTTCTTTAAAAAATAAAGAAATTTTTATTAAATAAAAGTTTTTTATGCTTCTAATAATAGTAAAATCATCAAGATTGGACTTATCCTTGATGAAATATTCGCATTTAAAGATATGATATTAAGGATATGCAAAGTAAGTGTTATACAAAAATTGTTTACAATCTTTGTGTAATACTCACTTTGCAGATCCTTAAGATCACATCTTTAAATGTGAATATTTCATCAAGAATAAGTCCAATCTTGATTATTTTACTATCATTAGAACCAGAAAAGAGAGCTTTACAACTTTACTTAGAAGCATAAAAAACTTTTACTTAATAAAAATTTCTTTATTTTTTAAAGAAAGATTTTAACTAATCATATTATATAAAATACAGTGTCAGTTTTTTGACTTAAAGAACATAATAAAAAAGAGTTCAACTTTGAATCAAGATCTTCTTAAAGTTATATTTTTAATACTCTGTAAAAATTTATAAAAAAGAAGCATTAAATACTCAAAAATATAAATCCCACTTTAAAAAAAAAACTTTCTTTTTATTTTTTTAAATAAATCAAAATTAATTGAATTTTTTTCATAAATTTATATATGAAATTGAGATACATCAAGTCATTTGACCTATAATTACAACAATTAAAGTTATATGTCCTATGCCTGATAATATAATATTTATTATGCACTATAATTGATGTTTATTAAATATTTACTACGTATCATATGATCTTAATTTTAAAGTTAATTTTTCTGTTAATTTTTTATTTCTCTTTCTTTTGAACAGTATTCACTTCAGTTTTTGTTTTGTTGTGTCATTTTTAGTGTATCATTTTGCTATATTGCTTATATTATATCACTTCTACTGTATTGCCTATATCATATTACTTTTACTATACTATATCATCTTCACTATTCACGTTACTTTTTTTTTGTTGCTTTTTCATATTTTTGCTTTTTCTAATTGTGTTATTTTCTAGTGTATTGCCTTTTATACAGTGTTACCTTTCTTTGCTTTTTCTTTTCACTTTTTTACTTTGTATTATTTTAGCTTTTTTTTGAATCATCTTCTTTGTTGTAATGCACTTCTATATATTTTTTTAGATGGTTTTCATACTTAGTTGCTATTTTTTCTAAGTACTCTTCATTCTAGCAAGTTTTTTTCCAAATTATCTAAATATTAATTATGAATAACTTATTTTCTTTCGATGCTGATTATGATTACAATAGCATTATAAATGCTTACATAGATGATAATAATGTTTATATAAATTATGAGACTTCTAATAATGATATTTATATGAATTATAATGATGAAGAGAGGGTAATTGAGGAAGATGAATCAGATTTAGAGTGTGAATATGAAAAAAATACTGTACCTATATATTCTTTAGCTGAAGATCAGAGTTTCAACTCCTAGAAGAATGTTAATGAGTAAGTATATACAAAAAGATTGGTTTAGATTCATGTTGGTACTTATTTTGTTAATTATAGTTTTAGATAGTTTGAATGTTATAGTCAAGAGAAAGGTTTTGCATTTTGTATTACTCATAGCAAAAATAACAAAGTAGATAAAAAGCCTCAGCGCCATATATATTTGTATACTAAAAGACAAAAATATATAAAGTACAAGGACGTACATATACTTAATAAAAGAAATAACAGTTACAAAGGTAGAGAATATGCTTATTATATAAATATATATTAGTAGAAAAATAATAATAAGATTCATATTTCAAATATTATTAGTATTCATAACTATGAAATAGTTAAAAATGTCATAATAGCTGAAGCAAGGTATTAACAGCTGACTAAAGAAATACAGGATGAAATTCAGTTACTTGCATCTTGTGGAGTACAAGCAAGTATTATTATTGAAGTTTTACAGTGAAAAAACTCTGACAAATATATTCATCTTTAGAATATATATAATATGATACAAACAATTCACTATGAGGAACATGTAGCAGATGATACTGCTAACACATATTTGGATCTAATTAAAAGATAGCAGGATGATCCAAGTTATTATATTGATGCAAAGTTTGAGAGGGTAAACAATTATTTAGTTGGCATTATGTGGATGGAACCAAATCAAATATAACTATAGGGTAGATTTCATAATATTGTTCTCATGAACACAACTTTTAAAACAAATCATTATTTGATAAAACTCTATATTATAGTAGTGATTAATAATTATAATCATTCATGTTTAGTGGTAATAGCAGTTATATCTGATGAGACAAAAGAAATATTCTCTTAGGTTTTAGAGAATTTACTTAAAGCATTGAATAGTTTGGCACCAAAATTAATATTTACAGATACTGATTACATGATAGTTGCTGTTATAAGTAAAAAACTTTCAAATACAAAACATCATTTCTGTTTTTTCCATATTAGAAAAAATCTTGAAAAAAAGTTTCTAAGTAAATATAAAGGTGAGATGTGGAAAGAATTTTTTAATATATTCTATCATATTCAGAATAGCTATGTAGAAGCAGTATTTGAAAGGCATTGAGCAGATATGTTACAGAAGTATTCAGATTCTGTATTATATCTAGAAAAACAACTCTACCCTTGCCAGAAAGCATCAGTTCTTTGCTTTACATATAGATCATTTAATGCGGGTATCTAATCTACCCAAAGAGTTGAATTATATAACAGTATTATTAAAAGGCATGTTAATAGCTTTTCTTCACTATTTGAGTTAAGCAATATCATTGAAAGATTGCTTATTAAGAAAGATCAGTACTAACACTTTAATGAAGTTGCAGATATACTACTAAATATCTATAATGAAGAATATTATTATAGATATTTTAAGGCAATTGATAAATTATGTCAAAAGTTCTTAACTACAGCAATTCTTAAAGCTTAATGTCATAAAATAAATTGTAGTATTCATTACCAAACTCAATTAACAAATTTAGAAGATAAACTTAGGTATCAGGCATGTTATTTTTGGTTATTTAATAGAATTTTTTTTATTAAGTTTACTAGTTTTTATTTTTATTTTTTAATTTTTATAGTTAACTAATAATATATCATCTGGAATGTTTACTGATGATATATTTGATGCATTTGTTATTAAACTTGAACAACTAGTTATTGATTTAAATCTTGCACATATTTGTGAAGTCTAGAAGATTTTCTCTATTGATATAAAAGTTAGCATTTTGTAGTATTATATGATGAGACTATGCATCTTTGCACATGCCTAACGTTAATTAATCGAAGTATTTTCTGTCATCATTTTTTTACAGTAATGTTATTATCAACAATTTCTAAACTTCATATTGGTCTTATATCATGCTGATAGTATTTAGATAATATAGCTTGTGAGGCTGAAACATGCACTGAAAGTGAACCTGCAATTTCAACAATAGCAAATAATCAGTTTGGATCATTTAAACATAATATACATATTAATTTTGCAGATCTTGATAATATTTGTAGTAGCTATGTTTTTACAAGTAAGGTTCATAATGAGATGTCACTTAAGAAACAATGAGGTAAAGGGTTTGGAATTATAAAAAAGATACTAGATTTAGTAATTTTAACAGGAAGATATGACAAATTATATGAAATGCATCTTAGGCTTTTAAAAGAAATAGAAATAGAGCTCATAGCGAATAATGAAGAAAGTATTCTAGACAATAATGATTCTGTTCAAATTATAACTACAATTAATAATCTAATAGGCATTAGTTTAAAGGGTCAGAAGCCAAATAATATAAAGGTGACAATATTTAATAGCAATAAGTATAAAAAATTAAAGATAGATAATACAAATTAAACTAATTTTAATAAAAGACTAAATGTTCAAAGAGATAAATTGATGGATATTACAAATTTAGAAATCAGGAATATAACTTATAATTGTAGTATTTGTGATCAAGTAGACTATAATACTTGAACATATAATGTAGATAATGCAAATCAGAATAGTAAAAATACAAAACATAGCACAGAAAATTTAAATATTGCAAATACAGGTAAATTTAAAGTTTATATCATTTAAGTTAGAAGCTAGTCAAAATTGCAACAAACAGAATCTCAAAATAGTCAAAATTCTAACAGATTAGAGTTAGTGTTAGCATAGTGTTAGTCAATTTTTGTCAGGATTTTGTTTCAGAATTCTGTTTTTTTGAATTTTGACCCAAATCTATTTAAGTTAATTAAATACTAACTATTAAATTTTACAATAGTGAAAAATCATCCTTATAACAATTATATTTCTCATTGTTGTGATATTTGTAGTCAAATGAGTTATAATACTCGAACTTGTGATCTAGAAAGTTCTAACAAACAAATTAGTATTATTCAAGATGGCAATAGCAATCATGAATCTGAAAATTAACTATTATTAGCTACAAGACATAATGGTAAGAATTTAATAGTAATATATATGTTTAATATTTATAGATTTATATTGCTAAGAAGGTTTAATAATACTAACTATTAAATTTTGTATTTGTAGTTAATAAGAATATTAATGACAATAGGTCTTGTCCTATAGTATTTGTAGCCAAACTGGTTATAATGCTCATACATGTAGTATTAAAACTTAGTTGTATATAGTAAATGTAATATATATATTTTCAAACATTGCATTTTGATCTCAAGTATTATACATATTATTAGAGATTATGTATTTTAACAGAAGCTTTGATAGTTATATATTTTATAATAGAGTAAGAATAGGTTAGAATAAAATAGTTTTATTTGTATTGCTTTAATTAATTTAAAAGTCTGTTCAAGTTATTTGATAAGGATAGTTTATTTTTGCAATACAAACTAAAAAGAAAATTAAATTTTATATATAAGTGTGTTATGATAGAAGTTTAAGATAAGGTTATGAGCTATAGCAATAAATTGGTACTTATTGTATGTAAAATTTTGTTTCTATCATTTTAATTAATATATCAAGGTTGATTTAGACATTAGTTTTTAAGTATTTTCACTTTCTTTTCTTTTATATTGAGCTGACCCAGTATAGTTAAATTTAATTAGCAATTTCTTTTTAGAGATTTGTATTGCTCGTGAAAATAGATATATGCCTTATACAATTAAGTATATAGTGATAGTAATAGTGATGTATTATATTTATAGTGTGTAACACTTATGGTGTATAGTATTTATAGTGTGTAACACATATGGTGTATAGTATTTATAGTGTGTAATACTTATGGTATATAGTATTTATAGTGTGTAACACCTATGGTAAATAACATCTATGGTGCAGAATAGTACTACTGAATATTTTTGAATAAACTTCTTTAATATAAATTTTAGAAATATAATTCTTAAAACAATTTGATAAAACTTTTAAATAATTACAACTTAAATTATTATAACTTTTATAATTAATTTGTAAAAATTTAAATTTATATTAGAAGTAAAAATTTTTTTAGCTTTGGAAATATATAAAATTTAAAAAATTCTAGACTAAAAATTTTATATAAAAATTTTTAAAACAAAGCTTCAAAATCTTGATATTTTAAAAATTTCTAATAAATTTAAAGAAATTTCTTAATAAAGTTAATAAAACAGAAATTTAAAACTATTTTTTAATTAGTTAATATATTGTTAAAATTAATATTTAAAATTTTTATTAAATTATAAAAAATATTAATAAAGTTAGCAAGCAAATTTGCCTGCTTTACAAATTAAAGAATAATAATCTATTTTTAGAATTCCTGGTTTTCACTTGGTAACACTTATATAATAATTTTACTAAGTTATTTTAGCGCACCTAATGTAGTAATGCTTTGACTTTGAACAACATTTTCGGATTTTTAATGTACTATATCGGCAGTGACTTTGAAAGAATCAATTCGATTAACTAATTGATGTTTTTTCTTAATTATTTTAAAAAATAAAAATAGATTAAATTTATTAAGAAGTTATTAAATAAATTTACAAGTTATATAAATACCAAAACTTTAAATATAATCAGAAACATGAAGATTAATTAAAGAAGAATCTAACAAAATATATATATATATATTAATATTTAATTTCAACAATAAAAAAATTTATTAAATTTTTAATTTTAAATAATACCTTTAATTGCACTTGATATTTTTTGCGTACTAATAATTTTACTAGTAAACATATGATCAGGATGATTTTGAGGAATGATTGGTAATGTTTTAATGATTTCATCAGCAATTATGAACTGTTTTTTGATTTCATTTTCATCATTTGAAACCAGCTTTTCAAGCCAATCATAAATTTTATAATAAATATTTAAAGCGTCAGGCCTTTTTCGTGGATCTGAATTCATACATTGATTTGCAAATTTAACATAACAATCGGGAGTTCGAGGAGCAAATTCAGGTCGCAATCCATTATAAATCTTGACTGCAAGATCAGTATCAAATTTATAGCCATCAAAAGGTCTTTGACCAGTTGTTATTTCAGCCATAATAACACCAAAACCATAGATATCTGCTTTTTGTGTAAATTGGTTTTCACCTGACAAAACTTCAGGAGCAACATAAGGCATAACGCCGTAAATATAACCTTTTGAACTGTTTTCATACGTTTTTTTAGATAATCCTAGATCCGAAACATACGAAGTACCTTTATCATGAAGAATGTTACCACTATGAAAATCAGCATGAATATACTTTGCTTCATGAATTCGGACTAGATCTTTGGATATATACTTAAGTTGATTTAATTTGAATTCCCATGTAAGATTATTAAAATTTGATCGTAAAAACTTATGAATATTACCATCATCAGCATACTGAAATACCATGAAGTATTCATTAGTTTTTGAGCTATAAGTTAAACCATATATCCGAAGTTGAGTACCATATAATATACATTGTATGTGATTCTTAAACTTAGAGATTATTAAAATCATTAGTTTATAATACCAGGGAAAATAAAATAAAATAAAATAAAATTAATAAACAAATATATATATAAAAAAAAAAAAATCTTTAGTTTAATAGGCTGTTACATAAGCTTATGAATACGATTTTAACCTACTTCGCTTAAAAAATCAGGGGAACTTTGATTTGTCTTTGTTTTTGAACCAGACAAAGTCTTGAGTGCAACAATGCTGAATGGTTCACGTACTCTTGCATAATTAAACTGATTCTTATAAATTTTTCGTAAGCCAGCAAACCAGGTTGCTTTATATATATATCCAAATCCACCTTCGCCAATTTTTGTAATATTATCTAGTCTGTCAAATGGAATCCATTCATTAAGTTCCTCATATGCAAAAGTTCTAAGTTGAAATGCTTTAATGCAATCATCAATATCCTTGTTTCTACTTGTCCACCTTGTTGCTATGTCAGGGTCACATAATAGACACCATGCTTTATTCGTGTTATCTTCATTACAATTTGCACATTTTCCATATTCGGATTTTCTATATGATAAATATGATGTTTTATTTCACAACTCCATGTTATTTTAAACTTTATATCGTGAATGCAATAATTTTTATACTTACCGACTAAATTAATGCAAATGAATGATTTGTACGTACATAGGCAAATAAGTATTTATTATGAACTTGTTTTTTCGTTTTTAATTCTATCCATTAATAAATGTTCTTTATACTCACCGGCTAAATTAATGCGAATGAAATGATTTGTACGTAATGGTAAATAAGTATTTATGATCTTGATTTGTGAACTTGTTTTGCTGTTTTTATTTCTATCCATTAATAAATGTTCTTTATACTTACTCACTGAATGTAGTGATTAATTCAAATGAAATGATTTGTACGTAATAATAAATAAGTATTTATTATCTTGATTTGTGAACTTGTTTTGCTGTTTTTATTTCTATCCATTGATAAATGTTCTTTATACTCACTAGCTAAATTAATTCGAATGAAATGATTTGTACATAATGGTAAATAAGTATTTATGATCTTGATTTGTGAACTTGTTTTGCAATTTATCAATAAATTGGCCCATATAGCAAAAAGAGGCAGTGGGATTTCCCATACTCACGAGCTAAATTAACACAAATAATAAATATTTGTGAGCTTAAATAGCAAATATATAGATTAATAGATGTTAATGCTTACTCCCTGTTAATTAAATTGATAATTAAAATTATATGAGGTATTGTCAAAATTTAAATAAAAAATTATCAAGCATAAAAAATCACATATCAACGTACTTTTGAATCCATTCATAAAATTTATCATAATTTTCTTCTACGCCAATTCCAAATTTGTAACAAATGGCTGTTTTATAAATTCCCATAGAATTATCTGCTCCAGCAGACTTTAGATAATATTTGAACGCTTTGTATTTATCGATTTCGACACCAATTCCTAAATAATAACAATAGCCAACTTGATACATTCCGTTAGAATTATTCATGTCTGCTGATTTTTGATAATGAATGAATGCCTTTTTTTCATCTTTTTCAATTCCAATTCCATATTCGTAACAATATCCAAGCCAGTACATTCCGTCTGGATCGTTCGTATCTGCCAATTTTTGACAACTAACGAAATTCAGTTGGTTA